GCCGAACCTTTGTCCCGGTAGCTGGCTCGCGCCGTACCCATTATTCTGATTGAAAGCCGACAAGCGCTAATCAATGGCGATCCCTCATGGCAGTTTGGTTAACAACAAAATAGAGGCTGCACAATGACAAATCGCTATACTCGTCTCAATTATCTGATTACGGGTTCCCGATGCATTACGTGTCATTTGGAAAACGGTGGTAGACTGATGCGCTGGGGGCTTGTACTGTAGTTGCAACACACACTGGCATTATACGCGTGCTACGAAGTACCGGCGTTCAACCGGCAAGGGTCGTGCGGGTGCGTGGACACTCTGATGCCCAAGTGGATGAGAGCGAGTGAAACGCTCTACCACGGGTTCCCCAGAGACGCATCCAAATCGCCCGGGATTTAACACCGTGAAAGCCCCGACCATACTTGCCATTGTGAGGATCCACTCATCAAGCGCCAATCGCCACTGAATCGTCAGAGACCTTTTTATCCATTCTGTCTACAGTCGTGTTAATTTCCCGCATGCCCGAATGTTTTTGTCCCGTTGTTTATTAATTTGTGCCGACCTTGTTTTTCTTCTCTTTTCGGTTGGCTTTGTTCCCGGTTTTCCAAATCCGTTGTGGGGGAATTTATCGAGATTTTAATTTGCAGCAACGACGCGAAGTGGAAACAAACAGCAGAATTTGGCTAGCGTTAAACAATGACTCGAAAAGGTGTCTCTTTTTTTAGGTGAGAAACAAATTTAAGCCCTTTATTTTGTTCAGTCGTTTTCGTCGAACTGAAATTGATATTCGGCAAGAACGGTTGACACGCAGCGCTTAAATAAACTATATGGTTCAAAGGTTCATTCGTATTTGTCTCAGTTGCCGTAGGCAATAAATTGAACCTCAGCATGCAGCAGGTTTTGCAAATTCAGAAATTGTATAGTAATCAACCAGGAGATCTTTTCACAAACACACAGACATGAAAATAGATATAAAACTATTTATATAAAAGTATATCAGAGAAGCTAAATTCTGCGGAACAATCGTTCAGCATTTTATCCGCATCTAACTGACTAAATCATAAATCATAAACTCATAGTGAAAGGAATCGCAAGCAAGTATACTAACGTGCGAGTAAAATGAAAGTGTTCAACCTTTTAAAAGTACAACGTGGCTCATTCACACACTTGATTGGAGTGATAATCGATTGTTACTCGTCAGTCTATGGTAATAATAGTTTCTCCCTATAGTGCGATCATTTCAAGTGTATTTTCATCGTTTTCATTTTCTTATCGTTCATTATGCCGATTAATATAGCAGTTTAAATCTCTAAATTGATCGCAAAATGTGGGACTATTCGTCTCTTGACTGCGGCTGTTCTACATGGTGCAGATCAAACCATCCTCTTCTGTATTGTTTACTTTTTGGTTCAGTTCCCACTGTTCACTATACCTCCCCCGTCAACCCTGGCTCCACCCCATTTGCTCATGTGATGGAATATTTATAGTCAAAAGTGGGAAAATAACGAATTTATTTGATACCAGGGTAATGTGGTGGAGAACAGAATGTAAAAACCCCTTCTTTGCAAAATTTAAATGTAGGCCTAATTGTTTTTAGAGCTAGATTTTTAAATTAAACATTTACTGCCATTGTCATCAAAATCTGGACAAAGACCAAAAAGACCCACAAACGACATCCCTATGTAATGAACCTGACACATAAAATTTCCAAATCTATAACTTTGTTCCGATTGCAATTTCTATAAGATGGCAATTCTACCGCAAGATGAAGTATACCAAACCTTCTCCTATTCAAACTCTACCATTTAAAAGGGCAGAGAAACACCACCACTGTCATTTTCAGCAAGAGGCGAAGTAACAATAATCCCAGCACGCCACGCAGGGAAACTCGAACTTCATGCATTTATGCACAGGACAAAAGTGGCACACTTAGGGGATCCGGGCGCGGACAAAGGAAATATGTATTTCACACCTTAATACAATCGGTAAGTGATGTTTCTCATCTGTCAAAGAGAGTCGCTGAGAGGGTGAAGTGATCTCGGACGGCACTCTCAAGGCGATATTCTATGGCCTAAGCAAGCTTCGGCCGAGGATAATTGTGTACCAGGGTCCTTGAATCGAGAGAGAGAGTCGAAGCGAAGAGGAGGAGGGAGGGTGGATAGATTTCCAGATTCCCCTGATTGCTTGATGAATACAGCTTCATCATCAGAACACAACGGCCAGCGGTGGCAGAACGCGGGGAAGGAGGAAGACAAGACGCAGACTATCCAGTCACTCCCTGGCACCTTCCCGTCTCTCTTTCTATCCATCAATAATCCGGGATTAATGCGTTTTCATGACGGTATATCAACGCCAATCTCTCGACGGGAAACCAGCCCCGTGATTCGATTAGAGGTGCCCGTTGAGACCAGCGCCAGCCTTCAGCCCAACCTTTTTTCCCCCTCCTTTCTTTCTCTTCTCTCTACCGTCGCTACTCTGCTGCCTCCACAAGAAGAGGGAGAGAAAAATAGAATCACTCAAAGAAATTGGTTGGGCTCGATGTGAATGCATCCAGTCGATCTCCTTCTCGCGTCTCGGTGTCCCTTGGGTTGTTGCTCAGACCCCGGGGATTCTGCTAACACTGCATGCCGCGTATTATAACCACCAATAAAAACCAACAAGAAAAAAAGAGAAGATGGATTCCCGAACGAAAAACAGCTCTACAAATGCAGCTTTTGTCATCGGGGCTGGATTTCACGGTTTTTCACTCCCCTTATATATTTCTTTTATTCTCACTCTCTCTTTCTACTTTCTGATAATTTAGTTGTAGGGGATGAGCAAGACATCAAGAGAGGTTGGGAAAATGAATACGGAGATTGAAAGGGAGATTTGAGACGTGAGTTTGCGCGCTGGAGGGCCGACGATGAAAGGCCGTGTAATTTCCTCCAAAGGAATTCCTCGTGGATAAGATTGCACTTCAATCATTCTTGTTTGGTTTACCCACCGTCCTCAGCCCTCTATCATATCGGGGAGGTACCATAATTACACTTTGATGGGTGTTTTCGCGTTTCATTTATCGAGTGGCGGAAGAAAAGTGACAAGCTTATGCCAAGAGCGCAACGTTGATCAACCGTGGTTAGGGGAAAAGTGTGAATTGGCTTTAGACTTCGGCACGAGGTGCATTCTAGCACGTCTGGACTTGGCCCGTATGAATAGACTGCACCATTGCACACAACGCGATCCATCTGTTGAAATGTATCAGACTATAATGATTTGCTTGATTAGATTTTACTGCAGAAATTAAAATATAAATGCCTGTGTGACTTGTTGTATAAATTATAATGTCCTCACAAATGAAACTTAATGACAGTTTCGTCTGGTCTCAACTTACATTTCAACATACGTTTGTCGTATCAAACTTGGAGTTGTGTGAATGTTTTCAACCTCTGACCCTACATTAAGTTGCCACATGCCACATGCACGGACTTATGCACGGACTTATGGTTGTCAACCAGACTTAGACTAAATTTTAAGAGGACTTCTTTTTGGCGTTTGCCTGTGCCCCATAGTGATCTAACGCTATTACACTGCACGATTTGGTCACGTGATGCTGATATTTGTCTGCAAAGGGCAGACTGTTCTATTTATATATCAATTTGAAATATTGATATTGAACTGAACAATATGGGATGGACACGAACAAGACGCTTTACAGGCTGTTCTGCCTGTTGGTTGTCTTGCCTGTTGGCAACCGATTAACATGACGTCAGAGGTGACGTGGCCCTCTATGTCATGTTGGTCTATGTGGCATATTTGACCAGACCATTAGAGTAAATCTTTACAATTTTTACGGGTTTTAATGTTAATATTTACAGTTGGTGGGCGGCTTATTCCCCCGGTTTTCCATAACAACGGTAAGTCTATACAAATCCCTCTCCTTCCCGAACACGGCATTATCGCCACCAGTGCCCGACAAAGTAAAATTTTACGGTTGTTTTTAACAGCATAAAGTCTGAAAGCTTCCGTGTTGCATTTCTGTCTTTATTTTTTTTTCCACCCATCGCTGTGTGTCTGTATCAACTTGTCAGCGGACACAGATCATCAAAAAACAACTGGAACAGCAAGCGTCTCATGCGAGAAACGCACCGACGCCTCGGGGGAGCGACACCGGCGGAGAGCCGCTCAACTCCCCGGTGGTACGATTGGAGCAACAACAACCTTCACTCGTACCCGACTAAGCCCCCCTACTCATCAACCCCAAGGACCCCTTTATCCGTCTGGTATCAACTTGGGTATCAGGGTGTCAGCTTTTTTTGTGTCCGGTGCAGGCCACCACCGTGGATGGTTGGGTGATGTGAGGGCAGGCGGGCATGTTGTCGAGTTGAGCCCGGTGGCGAGCGGAGCGATACGGGTCATCTCTCGGATCTGTTTCTTGATTGTTTGGGTTTTACAACCCGGCAAAATACCACCGGGAAACAATATAGCAGGGTCATGATTACTGGAACTAATATAAATTTCACCAAATCGCCTCATTTCTGTCCTGCCACTCTACAGAAAGATCAGTCATGATTTCATATTTTAACAAATAGGTGATTTCAGTTTAAATAATTATATTTTCTATCCTATTATTAGTATTAATTTATTCAAAGGACGTTCCACCCTTCATCAGCTATAGTAGTTGTATTAGAAATATGCAGATTGTATCCAAACAACCTGTATTACGCCGCGGTGTGCTGGGTTCGATATCGAAATGGTCAAAATGACCATTGGACGCACAACTGCATCAGGTTGTCAAACCTTCTTCTTTTTCTTCGCTCGCAAAAAGATATACGAGTTTTGATAATCATACAGAAAACAACTATTTAAAAATGATCACGTTGATAATATTTTTCACACGTTGTACCGAGATGATTGAAAATGACCATCCGTGTTTTTCTTTCTCCTTCTGGTGGCCTGTGAGTCAACACGCAGCACGCGTGTGTAACACCAACAGGCATATACATCACCCTGACAATCAACCATTCAGGGTGGTCCTGGACAGACATCCGTCCAATCAGGTTCGTCGGTACCAGTCACGTGGCCCACCCCTTCTCCCCACAACTGGCCAATCAGGAGCCTGTGTTCAGGAGGTAAAAATGATGGAGATACGGAAAGGGGAAAGGGGAAACAAGCCGGGCGAGTTGAGGAGCATTATCGCTACGAGTATTAATGCCTATCTGGCAAATCTGATTGATTGGGTTGTTAAACTACGCCCGCCCTGCACCACACACCGGCATATCACCGCTGTGTACTCGGCGTCAATAGTTAACAGATCACCCGTGCTTACTAGATACACACAACCGTTTGGAACTGCGCACTGTGTGGTGTTGGTGTATGGTTGCTTGGTCCTTTTTCACGATTCCTGAACTAAAGTTCGATACTCAGCACCGGTATTTAATAGTGCTGTATTCAGAAGAGCTCTTTGCTTCTAAGAGGCGGAGTCTTGGCTACCATGTGTTGAGGTGTTGGAAGGATTCGGCATCGTATAGTGGCATCATCCCCAGCTGCAGTTTGGTTAAATTGTCACAGTAGCAAACACGTTGTATCAGTCTATTTTTGGTCAAGTGCTTGGCCCAACATCAGTGACTTTTGTATCCTATAGGTGTCATTCGGGACGTGTGTTGGTTTGGCTGTTCGGATGTACGTGCCCAGCATGGCCGATTCCATGCTGTCCTTGCAAAACCTGATGGAGGCCACGCGATCCAGTGCCTTCATCATGAGTAACCCACCCCTGGCAGCCTTGCACAGTATGACTGAGAAGACGCCAGCGTTCCCGTACCCTGCCCAGCCAGCTTGCCTGACGTCCACGGGCAGCTACAAGCCCATCTCCATGGCTTACCACCCGAGTCTGGCCAACGGCACCCCGCACGGGATCACGGACATTCTAGGCCGGCAGGAGAACAGCCAAGCGGCCGCTGCTGCCGGCTTTCTGACCGGGGTCTCACGCTTCGGCTCGCCGTTCAGCACGGCGGCCAACATGTACTTGAGCCGCCTCGGCAAGCCTGTCACGGACTTGCATGTGCCGACCACCGGGCCGGCAGCGCTGTACTGGCCGGCAAATCTCCTACATTCCCCGGCAGCTTGGCGGGATCCACGCTTGCCATGCCCTCCAGGTAAGTCACTCAAAAGTCCAAACATAAAATTTACTAAAACCATCTTTGCAGTAAGTACTTGAAACCATTACAGTAAAGTTTCGTAGAATCTGTAGCAAAATAGAAGCATGAACACTCGTACTTTTGTTTAACAATTTACGTTTTGCTTTGCAAAATATCATATTCAACGCACAAAAAAACCTTGAAAATCAATGCTTATACGACTACATGAATTGCAATGCAAAAGTTTTAAAGTACATGTATATGCTGGCATTTTGCGGTCAATTCTTTAATGAACACCTGAACACTTCCTACCCCAAGCTTGTCCGTCCATAAAGTTGAAATTCCGAGCACGAGCATTGAGAATGAGGTTGGAATGTTATGCATAATCAGTTTGACTATATTTGGCACCATAGATGCAATATGGCGACCGCGCTAGTTACTGCATATTTAAAGTCCGGCTTCAAAATCTAAGAAACTGATATAATTTGTAAATTGTCAGGAAGAATATGATAGTACCGCGAAGATGACCTGACGCCAGGCGTAATTTCTTTTTCCAATTAAAAACAAAACAGGTTGGAAAATCAAGGCTTCAGTTGTGTGAATAGCAACCGTGAAAGCAAAACCTAAAATAAAAAAATACTTTAAATACCGTAGTTAAACTTTCTAGCCTTTATTCAAATTCTAAAATTATAGAATGATTGAAAAATTCTCGACCTTTAGTAACATGAGATCTTGAATGTGTTTCACAATCCATACAGAAAAGAAATAGTTGTTAAGCTGTTCGATTGCATGCTAAGGCAATGTGAAAATTATTTCAATTAACTGTTGACATATGCGCAATCAACTCCCCGGAAATTATGCCTTAACAGTCTGATATTTTGTCACTTTCAATGTTTTCTTCCTTCGGACAATACTTTGTAATTTTCACCCTTTCAGACGAATAGTTTTCCGAGTTCCTGTCAACCATGACTTGAAGAGCTTTCCCTACATATAACCCATAACTTGTGCATTAAACTTTTTTTCAAAATTGGCAGCATCTTTAGTCGTTACATCAAAAGATGCTTGCAAACAGTATTAAAAACTGCATCACTTGTTGAAAACGTTCCAGCTATAAAACAATACAAGATAGGATAGGATTTTTAACACATTGATTAATTGATCGTGGGTCTGTTACTCAAGACGATCAGGTGCTCTTGTACAAATCTGTATTGAAATATTGTCAATGAAGCGATTAATAGTATCCCCAGTGTTCCCTTTTAGAGCTGACTGGACGCACGTGGGCGAAGTGTCTGATGATATGAGCCTGGAGGAAAATCATTAAGTGTTTCCATTAGTTCATTGAAATGAAACATATAAATGATAATAAAGGAATGGAATATGAAATATCGGACATAGTCATAGTCAAACAAAGTGGTACTATGAGCAGCAAATATCGGGAAATGGCAATCTGGCAATTTGGGAATTTGGAGAGACTTCTGTATAATTATAGTGGACTTTATGTTCCGAAAAAAACTGAAACGATGGCTTTTATCAGTGTTGGATGGGTTTAGGGTTTTTGTTGTTTTGTTTAAACAAAAACGATAGACCTTCTGTCAATATCCCCTGAGATTTTCAATATTTCCTTTAAACAATTCAACATATTCAAAAATGATGTTTCGAAACTACCATTAAATTCTAACACCATGCATAAAATATGTGCAGAGTGTAGTTATCTCTTTAACATGCTAGATTTGTATAAAATCCATTAAAAAACCTGATACCACCCTTTCAAGTTCATTGAATTTAATTAAGGTATGAATTACATTACATTCAGCCAAACGTGCATAATAAACCGATCAATCATTGTATAAATTGGCTATACCGTTCTAACTTTAAGTGGACAATGTACGATTATTTTCAGTGTTGATCTTTAATTGCCGCGCCGAGAGTCGTCAACATTTTGTTTAAGGGCAAACAAAATTTAACGAACCGTTTATGTAGCGTTGACCACCTGGTTTCAAAAGAAAATTAAAAAATAAAAGAGACTAAAATCCATACTTTCAATTACATGTTCAATCTCATTCCCATAAAGTATACACACAAATCAATACAAGCCTTCAAGCGGTATCATCCAAGTCACGCGTCTGTAAGATTAAGAGTAGAGGCCGAAGACGTAATTATAATCTCCAACGCAACTTCATTCTCCCATCGTAAAAGTTCTTTTTATCAACTTTTATTTCCTGGCAATCAAGAGATATAAACCCGACTCTTGAAGAACAAAAATAGTCCAGGAAGGAAGGGCCGAGATAGTCAGTGGTTACACGGCAAGAGAAGCGATAAATCTCCCGGCGGGTCGTTATGATGTCGATGAGGATAAAACTCAATGGCCTCACAATTGATTTCATTAGCGTGAAAGCTGGACCGGGCCAGGCTCGAACAAACAAGCCGGCGGTCTGCTACGGTAGAGCCCGTGTCACCGGTTGCCGGTACGCGTTGTATGGCCACAGATCGAAACCCATCCTTGGTATATAGCTTCTGTAATCAACTAGAGCTAAACCACGGTAGTACATGATGATCTTGGCAGTTCCAATCAAAGGATGGTGTCATAAATGTCAGGCAGGGCGCTGATTTATGTAATATTTACCGTACTCGGGAGCTGGGTTTCATCAGGACAGACCGTCACGCGCCGTTGAGGGTTGTCTAGGTTCCCCCATACTCCAGGAGATCGCTTTGGAGGATTATTCGCTTTGATGGTTTCATCTTCAAGACATCTTTTTAGATCGAGACCTTAATATTTATATTTACAGCTTTTGGAAGGCTCCAAAAATTCATCTCGAACAGCGTCAGTTTTTTTGCTTTTAATTTTGATTTATTGCCTCGATCGGGATTTTCTTGAAGGAACTGAGGAATTATTTTTCATCTACCAGTTTCCCAAACAAACTAGATCCTCTTGTCTCTCCATTTTTTTAATTGGTATTTTTATGTCATGTCCATTATTATTATTATTTTAAGAATGACAACACGCGTGCATGGATAGTACTTTTTTTAGGTGGAGCCTTATGTAAATACTCTTTGATGCTACATGTGTATTCCCAATGAAATATTGCCATATTTCTTCGTAATCTGTACCTCCTATTTCGTAGCCCTTGTAATTTGTTTGCACGGTGTATTAATTTAAAAGGCATGCTGTTGATGTTGAACGGTGCAGGCCTATACGTACAGCTCCAGTCAAAGCTACATTTGTAATGAATTTTGAAGCCCCTATAGCACAAACATTTGATATGTAAAAAGAAAAAAGAGCTTGCAAATATGAATTACCATAAAGTCCTTGTAAATCAGTCGCAAAATCAACAGAGTTGTGTGTTTTCACTGCATTGCCAATGTTGCTATTGTGGCCATTAATCAACATCAATGAAGTCAATATGAAGTCATTAATTATAATTCTTCTTTTGATTGTTTTTCATGTTTTGTTCTGTCTTTTTGTTTGACGCTTGATTTTCGTAGCTGTGTATTACTTCCACTCCGCAACAAGACAGTGAAAAGGTTGATTTTGAACTGATTAAAGATTACAAGTGCTTTAAATAAACAAATTATCTTCTCTGGATGAAAACGTCAAGCATGACTTCGATCATGTAACAGTTTGGTTACTCGAGGGCAATTTGGGAAACAATTTATATTCATCTGGGTTTTTTTGTTGGATTTAAAATTTATGAAATTTGAGTTTCAAAAGCAAAAATTAGGCCTAATTTAATATAGGTAAATTAAGGTGAAAATTCTGTTTCTATTTATTTCATTCTGTTCCACTGTTAACCTGACGCTATGAAATTCTCGTGGTTTTCTTTTCTTCCCAACGTTCCCCTGCATTATTTTGACGCTTATTATTCGCATTATTTCTATCGACATTTAGTGCCAAAGTGGGATAGGAAAGGGGCAATTTGCCTCTGTCAGTTACGTGTTTCTTGGAAATGATATGACGAATGCGTCAAAATTGGTCGTTGTGTATTGTTGACGCTTCTGATAAAGACAAAATTCCGTGTGTATAATGAGAGAGCAAACATTCTTTGCCCCAACCGGTAAACCAAAATATTTGGCGGTTTGTGGTTTCATTTGTACAGATCGAATTGTTGGTGTTTACCTTCGGTAACCCACAAAGAAACTCGAATTGTGTAATATTTTGTCTAAAAGATTACTATGTATAGTGTAGACATGATTGTTTCTTAACAAAAACGTTTTTCAGGAATGAGCTAAGTGTTCAGTTTATATACTGATTGTTGAGTTAATATACTGATTGTTGAGTTTCGCTGATTTCAACTGATTGTTGAGTTTCGCAGATTTTCATAATGACCTTTTTGATGTCTTCAAGCTTCTTGATACACCCTCACTCGTCTGGTAAAAAAAGAGAGACTGATGTATGTGTCTGAAAGTCTCATAGCTCTATGTATCAACATTAACGTGCGGGGAGGGGGGGGGGGCTAGAAGTAACTTGTTTCAAACGTTTGGTGGCGCTGTACATTCCATCTTCCGTCGCTGAATTTTTAAACTGGAAATAGGAAAGAATCCAACATAAGTTTTGTTTTTAAATAATGAAGTTAATTGGGTCAATCGAAACTGTTGCGAACTAAAGGTATAATTCCTTTGCGTAAAACAAAAGTTTTGCGATCTACTACCGCGAAGATTCGCCTAGGCGTACATTTCGCTGAGAATTTACGATGATAGTCGCACTTTCACGAATGAAGTTGATTTTGTGCGAGAAATTTAAATAACTGTGTTGAGGCTTGTATTTCTTTAAATTCGTGTTCATGTACCCCGTGTTACATATACACTGTGATTATGCCTCCATTTGGTATAGACAGATGATTCACGCGTTCAAAGTCATAATATTGTTTTAAAAAGGTCGACCATCGCCGGCTTATAAACATATATGAATAATTTCAAATTTACAAGAAAATGAACATTTGGAAACCCCTTGATATCAGCTTTAATTATTTATTTCCAAAGTTCCCCAAATGGATTCTTTGAATAGCGGGCCAAAGCTCAAGCCAGTCAAAATTATGACGCAAAGACGTGCGTATCAAGATGATTATATGAAAGAAATGGATCTGTAGGCCTATGTCTTCTACATTAATCTGGCACTGTGTGTATGTCGTTTCGGATGATGGATAATTGATCCAGATACTTCAGAGCTCTCTTGACAAATACAATTAAACATTTATGAGGGAAGTTATAGAGGAAATAAACATATATTAGAGACGTTACGAGTAGGAGTCTAGAATCGCGGCAGTCTCACAGATAGTTGCCCCACCCCTTAATATAGTATTAGTATCTGTAAATTTTAAACGTTTTTGCGGCATTTAAGTTTTAACCTATATATTCTGCACGTCTCAAATTGTGACGTCCAAACGTCGGTTGTGGATATTGGAGTTGCAGGCTGACCCGTCCTAATAAATATAAGATTAATTATAATAATTTAATAATTCGCACACTTGTATTGCGTAAATTTCTATAAGAATATGATCAAATGCGCATCACAATTATTATCCCTGTTCATCAGGAATGAGACCATGCAGCAGTTCGAGATCCGCGCAAAATGGTCTCTACCTTCACAGGTACCCATTTATACTCCTGTGTGGAGAGAGGCAATCATAGTTGAGTGCCTTGCCCAAGGGCGCAAGCACCATGTTCCCCGCCAAGATTCGAACCCATGTACCACAGCACACGAATCGAAATGACCACAGCGCCCGACATAATGAATACGAAACGAGGTTGAACCAACGATATCCCTTGACAATACCTGGGCCCAATTGCATGGCACTGCTAGTTTGAGAATGCTTTTCAAATTGATGCTCTTACGAAACACACGACTGAGAGCGAGTCATCAAGCCATATTCATCGCTGACATTTAAGCCAGTAACGTAGTTCGGCTGAGCAAATATTTTCGGCCAATTATTTTTTGCCCAATTCCTGCAAGTTTGTGTAACTATACCAGGTAATACTTTAAAAAAATACCAGTAGTAAGATTTGACTAGAAACCAGTTACATTTGACTAGCCATTCAGGGTCAGCTGGGTGCAACTGAAAATCAGTCAATCTGACTAGATTTTTCCAGTCAGTATTGAAAAATAGTTATGTAAATTACTTAAATTGAAGTCAAATCCAACAACTTTTTCTAGTCATTGTATGAAACTTTGCATGTTTAACTAACTTCCTAATAGTCAATTTTCAATTACTAGGAAAACCAGTCAATATTTGGACTAAGTTATTTTTAGAGTATATGGCTGACGATATACCACATCACATAATTTTAGGATTTATATTTTTCCATGTTGAATGTTTGTGGTTTTAAATATTTGATTTGATTGTTTTATATTTCAATTAACTTTTGAGTATAATAACTTTTCATTTAACAGATTTACTCCAGAGCCATAATTATGTAAGATTTAAATTATCTAAAGTTTAATCACACTAGATTGTCTATTTAATCCACTGTTGTTCTCTCTTCCAGTTCAACAGGCTTCTCAAAGTTGTAGCCCCGTCGACAAGGACGGGAAGAAAAAACACACACGGCCTACCTTCTCCGGACAGCAGATCTTTGCTTTGGAGAAGACCTTCGAGCAGACCAAGTACCTTGCCGGGCCTGAGAGGGCTAGACTGGCCTACGCTCTCGGCATGACAGAAAGTCAAGTTAAGGTGAGACCAAACACGAGCAACTTATTCCTTGATCATTTTAATTGTAAAGGTTTCTATGTTACTAAGGGGTAAGATGATAAAAGCTGTATCTTCAGGGAGGAGGAAGGCCTAAAGTCATTTTGTTGCTCAGATCCATTGGCTGTGTCTGGGTAAAAGGTCAGAAAATTGACAATTTATCCGTAGGTCGTGGGTTCGATTTAATCTTCAGTTTTAAGAAACAACATCAGAAGGAGAGTTAAATCAAAGGAATATTTGGTGGTTGAGTTCACTGCAGGGCTCATGACTTTTATTTGTAGAATTGTTGTTTTTGTAATGTGGCTACAAATAACTCGCGGCCTTCGTTACTAACGCCGGTGTTAAGTAGCTTCACAGGTGCGAACTTTGTTAAATCCTTGTGTCAATCAAATTTATTCAAGGTCATTTTTTCCCCCTGTTAATTGCGTCATGGGGTCTAACAATATCTTTTTTGAAATATTGCAAACATTGAAGATTCTTTGTCAACAAAAATGATAATAAAAGTTCAAATTTGTGGAGGAGTTTTTCAAACAAAATGTACAGGCGAGTAACAAACTCAAATAGTTTAGCAGTCCCAAATTACGGTCAAATTGTGATAAGATTTCGCAGCATGTAGCAATCATTTTGAACACCGTTTATTTTTAAGTGCTTTCCCATAACCAGAAGCCGCGTATTTCAAGTATTCCTCAGACCGCACAACAACAGACAACGGGTCAATTGACACGGCACACCGCGGAGTAAGCTGGGCCTAGACTCGGTCGTGTGTTCAATTGGCGGTCTTTGCCCCCGGGGGCGCTCTCTATCAGTTTCCGGAACGGGGAATCGATTTGCCGGGACACCGGGAACCCGGGGTTTATTGCCCCAATCAAAACTTCATCATATTTGCGCAGGTATTGATGAACTTTGGAGAGGCCCAAATTGGTGAAATACCAGCCGATAAAGGAAGGAAAATATCAAAGGTGATTGCAGGAAGTGGGTTCGGGGTCACTCCGTGTTAGAAATGCAGCCCGTCAATTATCATGAATGAAGTGCCAAGTAAGTGTTTGGGGATTTCTTTTGAAAAGGTCCTTATTGTAAGTTTTTCAAACGGAAGATTTAAATCCGGAAGACGACCCTCTTGTGTAATATATTTCTTTGAGGTTGCGCTGTCAGTTTTCACTAAATAACTCTCTGACTGTCGATTGAGGAAAAGATTTTGTAAGTTGGTACAATTTAAAAGATAAGTCATATCTAAAGTGACTCGCTTTCAACTGTTGTTCCTGGTTACTAGTTACGGTAGAAATATATTTCAAAAGATGAGCAGCGTCAAAATATCGTACTTTTGCTACCGTAAATAATTCTGAACAAATGAAGGCATTCAATAACCAAGATCTTATTAGTGCCAGGCAAGGAACTCAAGCGGTGCACCAACCATGAACTTACTCTAGTATCTTACAAACAACCTATTACTTGCCCTCATTCAACAACCCATTAGGCGGCCACACGTGTTGCAAGTATACCTCATCATCACACAAGAAAAAAATACTCAAGGAATCCGGTGTAAAAAAGTGCAAGCGCACCGCGGTAAACAAGACACGGGTGAAATTGAGCGATTAGCCCCAGCACTCACGCGGCATTGGCACGGTGTGGCCCGGCGCCCACACCTGCGATGTTACAGTTCAGCGTGCGCGGCCAGCAATCTCTGGCCGATAGATATGCACGATTTCCCCCTGGGCTATCCAGCGGGAAAGAAGAAACACCGCCGTTGTTTGTCGGCAACTTTTGAATCAGCAGGCCAAAGCAAGAAAGAAAATACAGCGAGGAAAAAAGTAAATAAAACAGCCAAACCTCTTTAAGACACCGTGTCGGATCTTAGTCCCATTTCGAGTGATTGTCGGATAGCTTTCATGATGGTGAGGTGTTCCCCCGCTGCCTGCGGCAATTTCATCGGATACTTTTAATGTGAATTCCACCCACGGGGCGCGCCAGTGCCCCAAGTTGTATATGAAAATGATTAGGTTTGCCGGCGAAATTGTACAAATGATCTTTGGCTAGCCCATTTGGTTTTTAATGAAAGATCTGAAATTCCTTTCGATGAAGTACAACATTTTTTGTTTTATTTGGGCTTCAGCTGTTGTATCTTTTTCAAGTCATGCTTGTCGGTTCAAAGTCACTCCTCGATTCTCTGTGGCCGTGTAGCTCTTCTGCCGCGTAAACAACAGCAGAGTGGTGCTGACAGGGCGCCACCAACGACGGCCCGCTCGAAACTGGATCGTCCCAGCCGCAAAATGCCAAAGCAAAAAGCGCGACTAGTATGTCGTTATGAAGTATTGCGAGTAAATAAAATGATTGAGGATTAGGCCACGGCCGGGCCTGAAGGCGAGCGGGGATTAGGGATAATTTGACCGGATCAGTCTTTATTACTTCAGCGTGTTTGGAATGATGGAGGAACGCCAGCGGACAAACAAACCCAGAACTGAAGGGGAGGTTAAGCTCCCGAGTCAGTCCCCGTGTGTGCGCGCCGGTCTGAGTCAGGTTCTCGGATACAGACAAGACACAATAGCATGGAGTCTGGTTCCGGCATTAGCGATGGTCCGTAATAGGCTGTGGGGGATCAGCCTCAACGTGTCATTGACTGACAGATAGCACCCAGGTGTAACGGAGGCAACTGGCATTGCTTCACTGTCACATTAACTCTCTGATATGCTTCTGTGTGCTGAATTTACCCTCGGCTGGAGCGCGCATGCGCACATATCAATAACATTTTTAAAAAGACGAATACAAAAAGGGACGATCAAGAGAACAAGAAATTAAATTGAAATGCTGATGGGAATTTGTAGACTGGTCATTTCTTCTGGGTTACCTGGCAGTTCGATTTCTCTAAATTCGCATGTTGGTGAAATACTAAACATCAAAGTATGATGTGAACATTTATGTACGCCTGCGCATTAAACCGAAAGGGTTAACTCGGCACAAGAGTAAATCAAGCTCCTGAGCACACAAAAAGGTTGAATCTGATCAGGAACAGTGAATGGTATCCGACGATAGGCTTGTTAGCATGTCGTCATCTTGGAGAGCTTGCCGACTGTCGCAAGTGGCGCGAAGTGACGAAAGACGAGGCAATGAAGCCGACACTTCTGGAATAACACAACCGGCGAATTCTCGATCAGGCCAAACCCCGTGAGGGAGGGGAGAGATCAACCATAGAGGAGGGGAGACACACGACGACATAGATTCAGACAACCCAACAAGACAAAAATGTTACTGCTTCCGATTCGTATTGGACAAGTTCAGAGTGTCATCGGTTCAGAGGGCTCGGCCTTGCCCACTTAAGCGAAGTCCGATGGTTTGAAAATACAGTCTTCATGATTGTGTATACGCAAGAAGCAACAAATTGCTCACCGCATATGTAGAAATCGTTGGCCTTTAACACACCTTTCTTTTCCCCCCGTGGTGAGAAAAGTACACGCAACTTGTTTTCATTTCCGAAGCGGACCTTATTTGGGAATCACGGTGAAATGGGACAGTGACATGTTGTTATAAATTAGTGATGATCTGAAACTACTTGGCGATGCGTTTCTCTTTATTTAAGAAATTGACTGTTGGGATTCTTTAATTTTCTGGCACAGTGCGCTCAACAATGCCAACAGAAAATTCCCACTGTTTGTCGCGGAAATGACCGCAAACTGCCCTTAGACCCTGGTCCCAAAGAGTTGCCATTACAAAGATACAATGTTTAAATCCTTGACATTGAGGCCCTTGTCCATTGCGACCACTCTTGTGACCGCCCGTCAATAATGCGGCCACCTCGGTGTTGTAGCCACTCAAGTTCCACCTGTCTTTATTCTGTAGCTATCACTTAATGCCCGGTTGAGGCCATTAATTTACTCGATGGAGTACCAAGTCGCACAATTCCTCGTCACTGCATGGCTGTAACCTCTAATAGAAAAATAATATTTTCAACTTCCCCGCGGATCGGTCTTCGTTGGTGGCCAGTCTTCCCGTAAGCCCCCTTCAACATCAAATCGGTATCAAGCAGACAGGTGGGGTATTGTGTCAGGGGTGCCTGAGGGGGTACATCAGAGTGCGGTACGGGCCTTCATCAAAGGATACCAGCCACAGCATGGTCGTGATGTCCTTTACACCTCGGCAACTTCAAGTCTCGAGCTTGTACAATCCGCGAGACAACCGAGTTGCTTGCACTTTTTAGGGCCTTAATTGCCGGTCGTTCAGCCTCTTTTCATGGTCGTAGGGTCGTACCGAATTATAACATGCTCGCATACTTGGCTTCACTATGGTAGAAGTGCATGTTTAATTCAGCTTCAAATTCCCATTACGAATAAAGCCAACAGGTGAATAATAAAACTTTGACATTCGATGACGAATAACTGGGCATTTATTTAATTTAACAGAAGGTAATTCAGACATTTTGCTACAAAATTATCAGAATGATATAGAGGAGAACAAAATATAATGTTGTCGTTTAACTCACGTTGCTAGACATTATCCTGGTGAAATGTCTTCGGAAAGACATTTTGTTTTTTTTCTATTACGTAGTCAATACACCTATACGTTAAACTAAATTATTTCAGAGAAACTCAAACTTGAATGGTTCTATAACTTGAATTGTTCAACCAAATAATACAAATACTGCCACTTTGGAAGTTTATAAAAAAACTATGAGGATTTGTTGGGGAGGAGCCGTGTGGGCACTGAAGATTTTGATGTCTACAATTAACATGGCAGTCAAAATGATATTCACCATGATTAGGTACATGCAACCAATTTGTGTGAAATGACCCGATAAATTGCCTCAAAATAATCAGTGACTGAGGAGAGGGTTTCCGGCGCCAAAATTGAGCATTGTCTGCTACGAGCTGTTCGTTAAATACGTTCCACGGAGCTATTGGCCCTTAATGTAATCTCCGTTTTCCTCGAATCATCAATTACTGTTTTATCGTTAAAAACTTCCACCTTGTTTCGCAATAAATTTGCCCAACAGCAGAACCAGCACACACAATATAGTTGCCTCAGAATATATCAGTTGTATTATCATTCAGTATACTTAAGTAAATCTTTAAAAATAATCATAACACTGTCGATGAAGCAGCAATAATTTCAAAAGGTTAGAAAAAAAATACTGCAAACTCGATTGTGTCGATTCCCGTTTTTTTTATGACGTATCAATTACCACATCAAGTGACCGAAATGTGAAGCCCGCCAGGAATATCCAGTCTCGCTTTTATTTTGGCAGTTTCAGTTTACGCGGGGCAAAAGCCCTAATTACCGTCTTGAATGACGTTGATTGGTTAAAAATCATCATCAATTGGTGCAAGGACCGCACAACGTACACAACGCGTAGTAATCACACACGGTCATTATTACTCCGCCGCACAACGAGTATTTGTTGAACGCGCGCAAAACGATTCTCCACTCTCTCCCGCCTCAACGTGACAAGTGCCAAATCGAGGGCTTTCTGCTTTAAAAAGAACAAAAAATCAAGAGAGTGCCGGCGCAGCAGTGGGACGTCGACACACACATTATTCCGTGTAATTTATCAATTTGTGTAACAATGTGCAGTGGGCGTGGAAGAGCAAGCGAAGAAAAGGAGGGGAGTTCTACATGGAGCTCAGTCCTGCGCGGAGTCAGCACAAACTCATTTGACTAATTGAGCAAGGGAGATATCATAATGGCGTTGTCACCGTAATGATTCACGGTGTTTGCGCGCCCAAAAATTATGGCGGGAAAAAATCGTGTTGATCGTCTGCGCGAGCACGTGCCGGAGCAATCATTAGTCTTAAATGGTCAACTATTGCCGTTTACATGTGTATCATTATCGCTGATAGACCGTGGGTAGGTCTGCGCTCGGGATATCGCAGCCAATGTTGATTTTACTTCGTGTACATTCATTAATCATTCTCTATTCCAACAATTCTGGTCCGGTTTGTGTTTTTGTAGGTTTTCGCTATTTTTCTAACCTTTTTGTGCGATATATCACTTTCACCTGTTTCGCGTTGTGTAAGGTCGGGCGACGTTCTCTTTGTTTTCACGATGCACGTTCATCATAGTGATAAAAACAAAGTGCGTAAAGACTCTGACATCATGATACCTGTTTATTTCAAATTAAGATGAGTATATGTCATTGCTTGGTGCGCTTGTTGGCTTGGTCTCACGTTAATATTTTATATTTCCAGCATCAGAATTTACATTGTTCATGTTGCTATGGAAGTAGGCCTATTTTCATGTGCGGATAAACATACCCATCTGTTTTAAATGTCCGAGATATTTTAATTCTAACCTTACCAAATCCAATAAGAGTATATGCCTATGCGATTACATTAGGATCATCTAAAAAAGAATGGTAAACTTCGAGTTCAAGTTCATTAAAAAAACACTTTAAATACGCAGTGTAAGGTACAGTATAATACTGAAATGTGCTCTTAACATTTTCCAAACGCTTATACTATAGACTGTTATTGACTGTTTTATTCAAAATTTAATTTCAAAGTCGCTGCTGCAAGTGTAAAATTACCCTGCTTAAGAAACAATACTTTAAATGTAAAGTTAAAATGCACATTTGGACATGATAGAGTGGGGAAATGTTGCAAATTCTCATTGTGTTTTCGTCACGGTTTGTCATCTGGCATTATAGTTACTTTGATGTGCTGTGTGTCTATCTGTACAGGGGCGCGTTCAATCACGCTGATGATATACGCGCACTTTGATCGCCCCATCCTGAAAATTAACCTGACACAAAAACAATATCCCTCCCCGGAACACGCGATGAACCAACAAGACGCGAGTGATGATGGTAATAGTGGCTGATGGAGGGAGAGAAGTCCCGGCCGGCCCTTAATCTGCTAATCTCAGGATGAGGGTGGCCCAGCCTGGGCTTGGAGTGCCCACTTCAGAGTTACCTGTCAGTGCGGCAGGTTGGCGGAAGTCACAGGAAGCCGATAACGACTTCCGCGGGGTTCATCAATGATGTCCGACCGGCCACTCGCCCACTTCATCCCCCGGTCGTTTAGCATCTGTCTCGGTATCTTGTTCTTGTACATCATCATCATCACCATCAGGCTATCGCCTCGGAGTTTTTTTTTTAAGAAGAGAGAGAAAAAGGGGGACCTGTAAAGCCCCGGACGTGTTCCCTCTTTGATTTAGGTGGTATTACATGGGGGTTTAATAAACGACCACTGGTGGCTTTGAATGCGAAGCGTGCGTTGAGAGGAGACGGAACAAGGCAAAGCATTGAATCGGTCGTGTGCTCGCGGAAGGCGGTTGCCACACAATGCGTTAATCATGCTTAGTTGTTATCAAGCGTTGGTAAGTTACCGCATCACGAGGGAACCTCCTCAAGACGGATGAAGAAGCATCTCCTAAGTTGTCCGCCATTACGCTGACATTAGTCACGCTTATGGGTCATTTTCAACCATAAATACGCCTCCCCTTCCATCGATAAGATAAGGAGTTTTTGTCCCGTCTTTAATTGGCGGAGACCAGTAATCGTGAGGTTGTATTTGATTTGGGCGGGTTGGGCCGAAGCGGCTCGGGGCCTGCGCTCAAAGCCAGAGGTTCGTTTGCTCTGTTGTAATATTCAGCAATTACACTTCATCGTGCGGGGAGTAAACATAGAGACCTGGAGGAGGAAGGGAGGAAAATGCCCGCCAAATCTTGGCGGCACTTTTGCTTTCGGTGGTGTTGGGACAGCTTGGCCAGATTTGTCATCTTAGTAATAAACGGTTGTTTCTTTTTGAAAGCTCGAGAATCCCATGAATATATTAGCGTCATTATGGTGTATACACATCGCCGTGTTTAGTGGACTCAGCTTTGTCGTGCGCTTACCCGGCCGCAATCAATGTACGGCTCGGTCGTAAGGTTTAAAAATGACACATGTAATTTTCATGAACTACAAATCAGACAAAATATCTAAATATGTCAACGTAGGAATCAAACAAAAAGATTTGTGGCTTTCCATCCCCTTTATGTTTGTCGTCTTTCTGCCACGTGCCAACAATTCAGTCACGATGCAAACTTTTAATTCATAGGATCAGAGTTGGGATCGGAGTATTGGGTTCATGGTTTACAAAATCACATCGAAGTGCTTTCGTATTTAAACAAAGACTACGCAATGCACATTTTTACGAAAAGAGTTGTTTCTTTGACGCAGTGATTAAACCATGTGCGCCTTAAAGAACTGAGAAAGATTAGTGTTTCCGAGTCTCTTTTGAATTGAGATGATGTTATGACTTTAAGGTGGTTTCGAATTTATCCTCAACGTTTCAGTGTTATTCTTTCTCGAACTGCAGGTTTGGTTCCAGAACCGTCGGACCAAGTGGCGCAAGAAACACGCTGCTGAGATGGCCAGCGCCAAGCGGAAGCACGACTCGGAGACCGAACACCTTGCTGCCGAGGGCTCGGACTTGGACGATGTTAGGAGCGGTAGTGGGTCGCATCACCACGGCTCAAGGAGTGGTGGTACCTCGGTAGTCACCAGGGTCGATCATCACGGTGATGCTGGGGATATCAAGAGGAGAAGGGTGGACTGTGGCTTTGGAGGGACGGACTCCTTGAGCAGTGCGTCGAGTTTATAGCTCCGAGGTCTGTTACCTGGACGATGGATGGGGAATGAGCGTCAAATTCAGCCGTTTTCATTGGCTGCAACGCCTTGACTGGTTCCATGCCGTCATCGTGCACTGCTGTGTAACTTTCGAGGATACCAGGCACATGACCTGGGTCATACCTCTCATTGACGTTATTCACAATCACAGTCATTTGAATTAATCCAAGTGCACCGTGGTTCCTCACATGTAGGATAAACTGTATGAGGTACAAGATTATACAAAAAAGCACCAATGATATACGATGTGCACCGAAGAAATCTTTGCCTAAGTGGCGTCAGGGGACTTGACAGTATGTGTCATAATGTTAATATATTATTTTGCCAGATATCTAGCCAGAACTGTATGTTATCCAAGAGGCACCTCATATATGGGTCCCTGCGTTCTAAAATGTATGGAGTAAAGGGTGTGGACCAACATTTTTCAAACATACAAATAAGGCAGCTGTGCCACCAACCATAAAGGTTGCATAAAGCAGGCATTTGAGCTCAATGCTGTGCTTGGCTTCCGTAAATTAAAACATTTAAGCCTGTCGGAAACCCGGATTACAAAAAGATCAGTGGTCTTTAGCTATTTAGAGAAACCAGGCAAACAACTATATAGACTTATAGCTGAGCAGCCGTATAATCTCTTATACCACTCCAAATAGCGCCCTCCTATTGTGTCCGCCATATATCTCACATAGGCTAATGGCAAGATGATACCTAGGAGTCACCGTGATATTTTTCAGGAATATTTACCTACAAGAGTCCGTGACCAATCTGAAATAGGTACAGGTTCTGTACGCTGTATAGCCTAAGTATACACGGTATAGAAAATACATTTAGAGTGTAAATATTATTGTTACAGTCAACTGCATGGAAGGCATGAATCGGGTTAGCAGTTCCTCAAGGGCTGTTTTAAAGTCAACGAGAACTACTCATAAACCCGAAGACAATAGCCACATTAATATCCTGTGTTACCTAGGGGAGACCCCCCCCCCCCCCCCATCAACAGTTTGTGCTTATGCGCTACTCGGTAATAGAGCTTACTCCCGTTTACTAAATAGACTCCTTCCGTCTGACGTCACATATGAGGGCAAGTCTGTATTCCTCTGTGATACGCATGAGCATATAGACACTTTGAACTTTCATTGTCACTGTATTTACAGAACAAAAACTGCCCTCAGAGAGGGCGCACTGCAAGGTGTCTATAGTGTGATCCTTTTTAGAGAGATTTGTTGTGTATATTATGAGGAAAACTTTGTACAAAGTACCATAATTAGCCGGTTTTTTATTTATTGGCAAAAATGAGAATTCGGCTTCAAAAAATTCTGTTTGTTTAGTATTATGCCGAAGTTATGTTTTCGAAAGGACAGAAACCACTGTCCCCACAATGACCCGACGAGTGCTTAAATTAGGAGTTAGTTATAGCAATTATTAAAATTTTACAGAATCAGTCGTCGAAAAGTGAATACCACACACTTACAAATGGAGTATACACATGCCATTGCAAAGTCATTATTATTATTTTTTCAACTTGATAAACAAAGAAAAATGTCTACTATAGTCCATTGTGGTCCTTGAGTATATGCCACTGTAAGACGCGGCTGAAAAGATGCACTGAGTTAAAATAAGTTCTTTGTCATATCCATGTAAAAACAATACGAGGAGAGATGAGCCGAGTAATGTATATCAGTTGAAAATAATCACCCAGAGTTTTTGGTTACATGGATACAATTTCATATTCCAGAGACAAAATTTGCAGGACGTTTGTGAGATAACTGATATTCGCAAAATTATCTGTTATTAAAATTGACGCCTTAATGTTTAATTTTTTGCGGTAAATTCTTCCCAGGTTTATTTTTGTTTACAGTGAAAACAATCTCCCTCTGGCTAGTTTCCATAACGATGTTTCTTTCTGGACTACGAAATTTGCACAGAGGTTAAGAGCCGTTTACTCTGATTCACTATTTCAAAATAACTGAGGAAATCACACTTCAATTGCCCAAGGACAAGATATTTATCGTCCTGACCTTTTTCCCCGTGAAAATCTTATTCCAATCCAATTTCCATCTTGTTCAATTTGGGGACATGTCAACGGTGCGCGCCCGAGGCTGTTTCTGTTATTCAATCGGAATTGTCGTTCGTAACCGTCCGCAGTTCATGCCTACAGATTGAAAATTATGTAATTTACAGGAAAACAAATTTGCAAAGCCCCAAAGATGAATTTAAAAGGTGTGGTGCTCACGGTGAAAATTTACATTTTGAAAACAGGTCCTTTTTCATCATGTGGGCCTATGCCCGCACGAAATAGAATTCATTCAATTAGGAGCGCAGTTATAAGACACGCTTCCAGTAAATTCACACAACAAATTTTACCTGATGTATAACAATATTGCAGAATGCTGCATGTTCACTGACAACACAGAAGAAAGATACGATTATTGAAGTTTTTAATAAAAAAAAAACCCGATATGAATGCGCATTTTGTAATATCTTGATATCAATGAAAGTTGAAGCAGTGAAAGTACATTGGTTGATGGTGGGCTTTATACTTTCACTTTCACATTATTAAGTAATGCTCGTTATGTCGGTGATTTGGAATATTGTGGTTAACCCAACAGGTGTTTCAATTAGTAAAACGCAACAGTGGCATTTGTCTGAGCGGGCAATTTAAGACTGGATGTTACCGAGATACCGATTTCAGTAATAATATTCGTATCTTTCACCCCATTCTGCATAACCCTTAATACAAATAGGGACTTAGCCCCATGCATCGGCCCATTATGTATGTGTCAATATTGTAAATAAACATTGTCGTTTGCCAAATACATATTAAATAAATTACTGTATCATAAATGAAGAGATTACATGTCATATCTGTGCGTTTTTCTTGCGTTATACACTGGACCTGTGGTCCTTTTGCTAAATCTTTGGCCATTGTGAAATAAAATCCTGGTTTGTTTTAGCTGCGGGATAGCACCTTAACAAATCATCTGTCTCTCCGTTAGTTAGTAACAAACGTTGTTAGTTAGTAACAACGTTGTTAGTTAGTAACAAACGTTGTTAGTTAGTAACAAACGTTGACATTGCTCCAACATATTTTGACCGATTTCAACCAAACTTTGTCAAAAGTATCAGCAGCCCAGCCCCAACATGTCACATGATCAAACTGGTTTCAAAGGCAGGGTCTCTGAAGTCAAAAACCTGTTGTAATTGTTTTAACTAAAACACAACTCCTTCCAGAAATATATCACTAGACTCATGCATGAACACGAATTCGTTGGCCCGCAGCTTTCGAGATGCGATCGAGCTTGTATTTTTATCTTGAAATGAGGTCGGGAAAAAAGTTTGTTTTATTTCATTTTAATAAGAAATAGCACCGAATAAGGTGTAACAGTGAAAGGCCAAAATACAAAATTAGGACTTAGAAGATGACAAAAATAGGGCTTTAGAAAAAACATTTGCGATGGGATATTGTAATGAGCGCCTCAGTGAAAAACAAGGATTTGTTTTCAGATGGTGTAATGTTATCAGATGTTCGTCATCTGTCATCAAAGATTGACATCGTCAATATTGACAATAGTATTTTTTCCGGATATTTTCTGAAATTGAAATAAATACGAATGGGCCAGATGATCGTCACATAGCTCACTATAAATTATCCTTAAATAAAATCATAATGACATGTGTTCAGTGAAAGACTTTTGTTTCCAATTTCTTTTGAGTGAAAAGTGGAAAGAAAATTACGTTCATTGTAGTAGGCCTATTGGAAAATATGTGCACATGGCTATAAAAAAGCGGGAAATAAATGTATTGGTACTACTGTTTCAATTATAAAGCTTTCGACGCGAGTAAAATAGAATTTTGTTGGACATACAAAGCTTTCCTAGACAGAAACAGACAACCTTAACTATACAATAATAAGGAAAAACGAATAGTCAATCGATCAAGTAAGTAAGAAGCTACGTTCATCATGTTGTTCAGGAGGGACTTTGAGATAATAGTTTAGGAGAAAATGTCGACACCTCTAGCACAGGCAATGGTAAGTTACTTCGAACCAGTATACAAAAAGTTTAATCCACTTCAAGGGCGGATCCAGAACCAACTTTTCGGGGGGGGGGCGGCAGAGAGGGTTTCAACATGATGGGAAAGGGGATTAAGTATATAGTATCGTGCGCTATTTCCACATTGTAATATTAAAACTAAAAGGTATTTGTAGCTGATGGCTTGTGGGCGAGATACGCAACGTTTTAATATATTTCCAGAAAAGACAAAACTCTGGAGTTTTTTGGGGGATGCCCCCCCCCCCGTTTCCTCCCCCCCCCCGATCCGCTAATGACCCACCTACATAATTGTACAATAGAGTGGGCAAAAGTGTTGCATGATATCAGCCCAGTATCCAGGCGCGGTTCTACGGGGTGGGGGGGGGGGGGGGCTTTATCCCCCCCCCCCAATTTTTTGTCTAGCCCCCCCCCCCCCCAAATAAATTCTGTAAAAAAAAAAAATTGTATTAGCAAAAAGAAGGATTGTGATGTACATGTGTACATGCGAACGGTCTCCCCCTAAAGAAATAGTCGTGACAAGGGTGCATTTGTAGTTAATATAGGCCTAGTGTGAATGATTTTAGGATTTTATTGGCGCTCCCCACCTATTGATTTTCGGAGGCCTAAGTGTCTGGAGAAAATAACCGGTCTACATTTCAGCACGCCTCCCTGAACAAATTCTGGATCCACCCTGCTAGCCCCCCCCCCCCCCCCCCCAATATTGGTTCTAGAACTGCGCCTGCCAGTATCCTTACTTATTACCCATAGCTATATATACCATTGTCGATCTGAGTCGACCTGGGAGTTATTTAAACTCATTTCCAAACAGCGGAAGATTAATGAGAACATACATTTTTCATGCCAAAGGTGAATTCTAACCACGGGCAATGTGTAACAAGAAACAGTGTTTAGAATGTCCTGAATATCTTAAACGAGAAAACTGATAATTTGGACTCCAAATGTAATTTATTTTATCCTGACATTTTGGTCCTCAACAAAGTGAGAAGTAGGAGTATAAGGACCGTTATTAAGCCATAACTGCTCACCCAACGAGGGCGCACTTTGGCTATGATTGGCTTGACCTTGTTGAGTGTAATTCATATACCCTGATTTCGATTGCATATTTTTTTTTACATCAAAAGACCATTTCAAATTATTCACGTCTGGAAGGCGCGGAGAATGAACTCTTACCTCCTCACTTTATTTGTCTAGCTCCACGAAGTTTTATCACTCAAGTAAACACCTGCAGCGCATGTAGACGACCCACTAAATAATTAAAATCGCATTTTCCGCTCGCATTATCATTTTTCGCGACGTCATTGCAAGGATAAAAGAGGAATGTGAAAGCATAAATGATGGCAATGGATTCGCGCCATTTTATCAGAAATGCTAGTACACACAGAATTGATTATTTAAGCGATAACATCGGAGAAAGATTGTTAACTTTGTCAGCCTAATAAAAAGAAAAGAACACCATTCAAAATATGAATTTATCTGGCCAGTCTTACAGAAATCGTCGTACCATCTTGACACCAGATTGTGGTTTTAAAGTTCTCTGTACCAGGGAAACATTTTAAACCCGTTTCACTGAGACCAACGTTGTAAAACTAACGTGAAAAATTACATGAAAACTTCACGTACTCGAAAAAAAAATGACGTCGTCATAGCTTAGTTTTCCCGATTACCTAACCTTTGTACCCCAAAGAAAATTGCGCCCTCGTGCAACGAATCTTTCGCAACTCGAATGATATGACAAATATCACACGATCCAAGACAACGTCTCTATTTAAAGTGCTATGGTGGGAATTGTCATGTAGCATTTGTTATTTCTTCCCCCGGAAATGGGGTTTCATCGTAGATTAGCAACGAATCAAAACAAACTCAAACTGTCCGCGAATCAGATTTTGATTGGAATCACCTGCAATCTGGACCCTGTAATACCGCTGGATTGCCGTCTCGAAAGAGCCCCAGAATACCACGAAATGAGTTTTTGATTCTCCTGTTGCAGCCTCCCAAGAAAATTAAAAGGACCGCGCCGAGAGTGGATGCTTTGTGGGGAGTTACGCCGCGATCCGACGGCCTGATAACCGGCCCACGATGCGGTGAAAAATCGGAATACGAGGACCGCTCAGAGTGTTTCAACGGTATTACGGCAAGCAGCTGGTTGCATCAAAGCACACGTAGCGATTAAGAATGGATTCTGTATCAGCCATTCATTTAATCTTAACCCTCCAAGAAAAATTCGCCAGGTTTTTGAAGATTTTTCCCTATCGAGAAAGATACACCTTGGCCAATATGCTTGCCACTTGATGCCCCCTTGAACGGTTTGGGAATTCATAATAATGGCGAGGGAGTTTATCACTTTAGCAACTGGACAAAATTGTCATGCGAAAAAAATGATGAGGCCCAATAGTGACTAATACGTTAACACTCTAAAATGCTCTTTTGGATTACTAAAGATAATGCATGGTCCTTCCACACTGCTTTCAACTTTTTGATTTCAAGATCCAATCAGTGCATGGCTTGCTTTCTTTCTTATCTTACTACTATTCTTTTGTTTTCAACCTTGATGTTTCTTCAAATGACAGATTTCACCCACCCATACCAATCATCCTTGCAGCCTGTTCGATAGCAAGTATACAGCCGGGTCTAGCTCCAGAGACCATCAGTGTCATAATGACCCGAACTGTCAGTGGCAAACCCGGGATTTTGATTAACCTGATTGCTTTGATAACAACCATAGTCTTATTAATGTAATTAAAAAGTTGGGTACATGTCAGGGCTGCCATGTAATTTCATTGATTACTCGCACCATAGCGAGCCGTCAGCACGAGCCGTTTTGATATACACAGCAAGCCCAGGCAGATTAAGTTTATACAAACCAAAATAAACAGACGATCTCTCAATACACAGGCCACTTCTTCGTGTTCTCCTTCCCGCGCTGTTCTGCGAGCGTGAGGTAATTTTGTGGAATCATTCTATCATTCCGGTCCATGCAGTGTTGTCCATCACCTTACTCATGTCTTCATTTCTTCCTCCTTAAACTTCTCTTGCTTTGTCGATGCATCCCAAATCATCCGGCATCGCAGAAACTGTAAGCTATTTAGGAATAAGTGCCATCATTTTCCAATATCATCCGATTCCCATCTCTTTTCTACTATGAACAATGGCCTTTACAAGTGAAATTGCCCAAAACAAAACAGGTGCTGATCTACAAGGGGGTAGAGGGTCTAAACCCCCTCTTGGGTCGCAAAAAATAATAGGAAAGTCGTGCAGAAAAACACGGCATATGCCGTCTAAATCCCCTTTGCAGCTAACCCCTCCCCATCCAAACCTGGATCCGCCCCCTGACAACGTATCCTATCACTGTACTGAGCAGGTAAAGATTATGTGAAATCCTAGGGGTTAGAATCTTGGTTGTGACATGTCCGAGTAAAAGATTATGTGAAATCCTAGGGGTTCGAATCCTGGTTGTGACATGTTCGAGTAATCTTCATTGTGTCCTTGGGCAATGTACTTTACCGCAATCACATGTTTTGGAGAAAGTCCGATGTAAAGGTACATTAGTTTGGAGTTGACAGGGAAGTCGCATTCTGTTTAATTTGCCCCTTAACGACAAGCAGCAATGGTATTGGTCGTCGATGAATTTAAAGCAGTGTCATCAGACCATATTTGTCCGTGCTGGAGAGACGATTCATACTATCTGCTTTTCAAAGAGACTACCTGAAAAAAGGTAGCAAAAGTTAAAGTGGAGGTGGTTACGAAGGACTTTCTCATTTTAATTTTAAGAACAGAGACCATGTTAATTATGTACGTAAAGAGGAATCACTCTTCTTTAAATCTGCACCATATTAAGGCAAAACTATCCACTTCTCAATAGTGCGGATTTCGAGTATATACACGTTAGTAATTCGCATTTATCCCTTTGTTTCGG